TTTGTTAAATTTTTTTACAGAGAAATTTTTACAACAAAATTATTTTTCATCGTGATTTTTTTTAAAAACACGAATTTTTTTTTTCAAAGAAAATTTGAAAAAAAATTATTATTTTATCATTGTGATATTCTTTTGTGCTACGAATAAATTTTTGGTAAATTTTCGTAGTAAAAAAAACAACGATTTATTACGATATTTAGTGAATTAATTGTTTTGGAGAGAAAATTTGACAAAAAAGTTATTTTCTTATCGTGATAATTTTTTTAGGCCACAAAATATTTTTTTTAAAGAGAAAATTTAAAAATAATTAAAATTCTCATCTTGATATTATTTTTGTGCTACAAATATTTTTTTGTTACATTTTCGTAGTAAAAAATTAAGTAACTAATAATTACCGTAAAACAGGGTTATTTCGCTCAGTGCGGGTAAAGTCGCTCACCTATTTTTTTGCTTTAAATTTGATTAAAAACTAAAATTTAGTATTTCTATTAACAAATTTAACATTTTTACCTGCTAATAAAGGTATTAAACTTTATTTTAAAGCTGAAATAAAGCATAAAAGTGGGTGAGCGAATTTACCCGCAATGAGCGAAATAACCCCGTTTTACGGTACGTTATTTAGTTAATTAATTTATTTACAGAGAAAATTTGACAAAAAATTATTTTCTCATCGTGATATTTTTTTTTGAGCTACCAATAAATTTTTTACAAATAAAATTTTAAAAAAATTATTTTCTCATGGTGAAATTTTTTCTGTGCTACGAGTAATTTTTTTTGTTAATTATATTCTCATCGTGATATTTTTTTAGGTCACAAATGATTGTCTTAAAAAAATTTTTTTTACTACGAAAATTTAACAAAAAAATTATTTTTTAATGCACGGAGAAAAAAATCTGCCTTTTATAGTATAGAAAGGTTTACATTTAATGCACAGAAATTTTCTATGCTATATTGGGATCTGACATTCGTACACATGCCATCTGGTGTTGAAAAATGTAACTAGTTTTGGATAACTGTTTGTGTCACTTGCAATTGTATTTCCGCTATCATTGTTAATTATTTTATCATTATGAATGAAGCTACATTTTTACCGCGTGAGAAATCTTCCTGCAGAATTAAGTGTTCTGTGAGAGGCTGTGACAGTACTGTAGCGGAAAATTTAAGCGTAATTTTTCATAAATTTCCGAAACCAAAACAACGAGTAGTGGATGTGAAAAATACGTTCGATAATTTTGAAAAAGTCGATCAATTAAAGGCCTGGAAAAATGCTTTAAAAATAAACAGTATAAAGCCTTCTATGAGAGTATGTTCTCTGCATTTCAAAAGAAGTGATTACATTTTGCCATGTAAGTTTAAGATTTTAAAATTTGGAGGTTATATAATCTTTCATATTACCCGTGCATGTGAACATTTTGAAAGTTAATTTATCACTGTAAAAACGGATAAATAAATTTTTTTTTCACTTCTTGTTAACAGACTTTTACAATGAAAAATGAAATACATACATTTATAAATTTTCATATAATTACATGAAATATAAAGGAAAATACAATACTTTTCTTGCACAAGTATCGCTGGATTTGAGAAAATAATTTGTATAAAAATAAGATTTCTTTTATATTTTTATTCATGTTTGTAAATAGGAATATAAATAGTAATTTTGTATTAAAAAAATTCACTTATACATTTATTAAATTAAGCAATATTTTTTAAACGATTTTAAAAACGATTTTTAAACATGCATCCCATGTTATTCCCATGTAAATTCACTAAAAGTGTTACCCAATTTACGCCATATTGCTTAAGGCCCCGCCCCCATGTCAGATCCCAATAGACATGAAATTTGAGTAATTATAGTACAATCGTATGTCTTTTTAGCATGAAACTTGTCTATGCTAATAAAGTTTGTCATATAGCCTCTTATTACATACTTATTATACTTTTAATCCAACGGCGCCATGCGAAGATCGCACATAACATCATCCTACTATGTTTGCATAAGTTTTATGCTTTTTCGGGGATAGACTCTTGCAACTGGCGATTAGGGCAGTTCCAATTCAGTAAAGGTGGGCGTGGCCTAATCGCCAGTTGCAAGAGTCTATCCCCGAAAAAGCATAGAACTTATGCAAACATAGTAGGATGATGTTATGTGCGATCTTCGCATGGCGTTGTTGCTATTAAACTACATGTTTTGTACTATAGAAGCATATATACTATGCTTTTTTAGTACGGACAAATACTATCCTAAAAATTCTCAAATCTTTGCTCTATTAGTATGAAAAGTTTAAAGAAAAATAGCAGCAATCTATTTCATACTATAAAAGGCAGATTTTTCTCTCCGTGTGGTAATATTTTTTTTGGCCAACAAATTTTTTTTTTGTCAAATTTTCGTTAAAAATAATTAATTAACGAATTATTAAGTATGACATTATGTTATTAATAATTATTTATGACATTAATTACTTATTAAGTTAATTATTTGTCATATTTAAAATAAAATAAAATATCTAATAAAATCAAATTTTTCAAATGTTTCCGCGCTGCGCTGATGGCTCAGCTCTGGACTTAAGTTCGCTCAACGCCACAGGGAGGGCGAACATCATAACTGTTTCTCGCAGTTGAGGTGCCATTAGATTGGTATATAAGCAGTGATCGAAAATTTTTTTTTGTCGAAATTTTTTTCTGCCCGATGTCTCTCCTTTATTGGATTTGAGACAAATTCTTTTTTGGAAGAAATGGTTTCACTAATATTTTGATGACCATTTTTTTATTTTAATTTAAATATTAAAAATAAAATAATAATAATAACTATTAAAAAATAATAATAATAACTATTAAAACAAGTAGGGTGTCCTTTATGTTCATTTCATGAACATTTTGCTTCCTCATTATATGATGCAAAAAATTTGCTTCCTCATGGAGGAAGCAGTAACACTGAAAGTAATATACATAAAAAAATTGTGTTTGTTTAAATTCAAGTTTAAACATAAAATTATTGCATTCCTTGCATTATAATAAACCGATTGGTATGTATGATATATATTTAAATTATTATTATTATTATTTAAATTGAAAGAGTTAATGAAAGTTTAAAAAAAGGAATACAATTATTTTATATTTGAACATGAATTTAAATAAACACAAAATTTCTTTGTTAAAATGTAAATTTTTTATTTTTTAACTTTCATTAATTGTTTTAATTTAACGCAAATGTATACTTTATACATACCAGTCGATTCGTTTCAATGCAAGGAATACAATTATTTTATGTTTAAACTTGAATTTAAATAAAAACACAATTTTTTAGCTAAGACGTAAATTTTTTATTTCTTAAATTTCATTAATTTTTTTAATTTTATTCAAATGTATACTTTCTATATACTAATTGATTTGTTTCAATGCAAGGAATAAAATTATTTCATATATAAACTTGAATTTAATCAAACACATCATTTTTTAGCTAAAATGAGAATTTTTGATTTTTTAACTTTCATTAATTCTTTAAATTTCAATCAAATCTATACTTTATATATATCAATCGATTCATCTTGACATAAAGAAGACGATTATATTATATATTACCTTAAATTTTTCGATTAAAAAAAAAATTTTGGAAAAAAGACGATAAAATTTTTTTTTTTGGGTATTTTTAAAAATCCTCTCGTCATTTTTGAGAGATTAATGTGTTAAATAAGCCTACCAAATTTTACCCAAATCCATTAAAACCTGTTAAAGATATCGTGTTCACAAAAACTATCCACACACACATACACACACACACACATACACACACACATACATACATCCGGACAATTGATCAGGATCTCATATAACATGTTTCTATATAGAGGAAAATTTGTTTTCACCATTTTTAAAAATTTTATAAACGAAAGGACTACATAGCTTCCTCCACGAGGAAGCAACATAATAAAAATAAATTTTTTTTAAAATTATTATTAAAATTTTTAATATTGGATATTGGACTTACTAAATTACTAAATAAATAATATTAAAATAATTTTTGCAACATCGTAAACGACGTAGTAAACGACGTAGTAAACGACGTAGTTTGCTATCCCAAATTCCGCTTTCATTTACGACGTCGTTTACTATGTCGTTTTCTACGTCGTTTACTACGTCGTTTACTACGTCGCAAACTACTTAGAATACGACGTCGTAAACGAAGTCGGAATTTTCAACTGGGGTAACCTTACCTTAACCTTTACATATAAGCTTACCTCAACCTTTACTTGTAAACTTACCTCAACCTTTACTGGTAACCTCACCATCTGGGCGGAAATTTTGAGTTCACCTTAAGTCTACCACAGCTCTATCGCGTAACCTTACAAGCCATACCATTAACCTTTACCACAGCCTTACAGCAAAATACTGTGCTATGTGGGTTGGTACTTTAAAATTATTATGCATCCATATAATATTCTAATATATCCGTTGCTATTACGATATTGCTTTTGCAGTCAGCTTAACTACTTTAAACCATATGCTAGTTATTTCAACTACAAATATTAGTAATTCCATCTAAATAAAATTAACTGCTAAAATTTAGTACAATTAGGTATGTAAGTTTAGTAAAAATGATTCTAAAACTAATAATTTCAACTACTTTTTTTTAAACACCCTAATGTGGTGAATTTTATCAAACTGATTTTTTTGAGTGTGATTAGAACTTTTTAAGCAAATAGAACTAAGAGATCGTGTAAACCAGAATTTTTCACTTTGAGTATAATTATACTTTCTAAGGTAAGGTTTTAATTCAAAATACAATGTCGGAATCGTAGAGATGAAAGTTTTTTATATATTAAAAGCAATTTTTGTGGCAATCAATATTTATAATAATAAATAATATTACATTTATTTGTACTAATAACAGTTAGAAAATTGAAACTCAACTATTGTAATAAAAATTAGAAAATATTTTGAAAATTTAAAATATACGGATGTATTGAGGATTTAAAATTGCAATGCGATACTAGTGTCCATAAAGTAAACTAAAAAACATGTCCGCCGTGGGTGTACATAATACTGTTGTTGACATGCAAATAAGTATATAAATATTAAACAAATAGATTTAAAGTTTGTTAAAAATCATGGAATTCGATTCACAGCACCGAAAGGGTGTGAAAAATCGAGGTGTTTGTTGTGTAAAAAGTTGTGACTCGAAAGTGTGCAAAAATATGAACTTGAGTTTCCACAAAATACCAGCTTTTGGAAAATGTAAAGTCTCAAGAATAAATATTTTTGGGAAAGAAGAGTTTGTTGATAAACGGACACAGTGGTTAAAGCTTCTTAATATTAAAGACAAAAAATATCTTATTGTTTGTTCGAAACATTTCACCAAAGAAGATTATCTTTATCCAGGTAAGGTTATGTTGACATACATTTGCTTTCTCAGATTTTTGAGTTTAGTTTTTTTTAATTTCCATGTACGTTAAGAAAACCTTTTTTTTAGATTTAGAAATGCAAAACCGTATTTTGAAAAAAAATGCCGTACCAAAAGAAGTGAAAAAATCTGACAGCATAATGTCAGAACTCAAAAGGCAAGAAAGAATGGTATGTTTCAATACAAATATTAATTTATAGATGTGTAAAAACTTTGATTTTATTTGTAATTATAAATAAATATATATAAATTAATATAAATAATTATAGATAAATATATAAATTAATATAAATAATTATAAATAAAAAATGCCTTGTTCATATTTTGAAGTTAATTAACGTTACATATTTTGCATTAGATGATGAGAAGATTATTACCATCGAAATTAAAAAGTACAGAGGAAAAAAACGAAGTGCAAAAGTCTTTGGAAGAAAATGTGCAACCTACGAACAGTTTTGAAGAAACTAATGGAGATTTTGAGAATGAAACATATGAGACAAATGAACATGACTCTCATTGTGAAATGGGGGAAGATGCATTATACGATTTACAAATGTCGACAACTATGGATGAATGTCAGGAAAATATAGAACATTACAATGTTGAAAAACAGAAATGTAAAGAAAATTGTACTAATGATATTGGAGTTCAAGTATCAAGCGGAGATTTTACTTACACTCTTAAATCTTTCATTAAAACTGAAAAAGATTTAATGACCTTGTGTAATATTAAAAGTTTTAAAATCTTAGAGAATTTAGCAGAACTGATTGATAAATATTATCCCACAAGAAAAAGATTATTAAATACCACAGAATGCATAGTTTTGACAACTGCAAAATTGAAGTTGGATATATCCTTTCAGGCACTTGCAGTATTTTTTTATAACATCAGTGATGTCACAATTAGAAATGTATTTTATGAGTATGTTAAAAAGTTATCAAGCATTTTACAATCTTTACTAGTTCGTGTACCTAAGGAAGAAATTCAGCAAAATTTGCCAAAATGTTTTAAAGACTTTTCTTCTACTACATCAGTTCTCGACTGCACAGAAATAAAAATACAAAAACCTAAATGTCTAAAATGCAGAATCAAATTTTACTCACATTATAAAGGCGATTTAACCGTCAAATTCATGACTGAAGTTACTCCAGCAGGGATTATTACAGTTGTCAGTGAATCATTTGGGGGACGAGCATCAGATAAATGCATATTTAACCATACACAAATTCTTAATGATTTAGAAAGCACGAGAGATTCAGTAATGGTTGACAAAGGTTTTCTTATTGAAGGTGAGTGTGAAGATAAAAGAATTAATCTGATAAGACCACCATTTGTGAGAAATCAAAAGCAACTACCTGAAGATGAAGCAAATATAAACCGTAAAATTGCTAGTGCTCGAGTACATATCGAGAGAATGAACCAACGCATAAAGCAATTTAATATTTTAAATAACAAATTACCATGGCATCTAATAAATTATGTAGATGATATATTTTGTATTTGTTGTGGGTTAGCTAACTTGGGAACACCCATACTCGCAGATGATAAATTTTAACCTGTACAGTTTTCGATTACATTTTTTCATAAACAAAACAATAAATTATAATTAATAAATCTATTGAAATTTATTTATTAATATACCCTCATAATTACACTTTTAAAGTTTCCTTATTATTATTATATAAAAATAATATTTAAGTTTCAATATTATAAACATATAAATTCACTTGTGACTTTTTTCAACAATCTTAATAGCATAAATTTTTTTACATTGTGTAAGTATCCTTATCTTATAAGTTCATAATAATACTTCAGTTTTAATAAAATATAAATATAATTTCACTTGTAACTTTTTCAACAATATCAATAACGTTACATTTTTATTAAGAACATACACTTAAAAAATACTCATTTGGAATACTTTTTTGGTTTAAAAGTTATAAAGTAAATAGCATAACATATTAACATTCCAACAAAACAAAAAAATAGATTTTACTTAAAATTACAATACTCTTGAATGTAAGCATACATTATGCACCATGTTTTCAAAATAATTCTTTTTCAAAGTACTTAATAGTTTAGTCGCAAATTCTTTGTTGTAATCAATAGTTATAATTTCCAATGTTTTCGATTCACTCGAATAAATAACAAAATCACATTGTTTCAAGTTTAATAAGGTCAAGCCTAATTGCACTTGACCGTAATATTGGTGCTTTTCTTTCAAAGAGAATTCCTTCTGATTCAGATATTTACATTTTTGTAGTAAAGTTCCTCGCTCTGTGTTTTGCAAATCTAACGGACATTTAATTTCTAAAAGTCGGTATACTTTCGAATCTTTGATGACAACTCCGTCTGGCGAATATGCTAGCCATGGCTCGTTCTTACAAATAATTAGTCCACATTCTTCAACATGTAATAAACATTCATTCATGTAAGCTTCTCGAGCTTCAGCTTCAAATTTATTACCGTGGTTTGTTGCTTTAGTTTTAAATTCTGTTGGCCAAAAATATTTAATAGATTTATTTTCCCAATCATGTTTAGAATATGTATAAAGGTTATAACATCTGCTACCAGTAATTCTAAATTTTCTCTCATTTTTCCATTCAATTATAGATCTCTTTGTAATTTTTTCCTTTTCAAATACGTCATTACATACAATTTTCGAATCATAAAAGGTTTGACAGCAATCCTTCATCGTAAAAACAATTTTTGTTAACGACGATATATCTTCTGATTCTAATGAGTTATTAATAATCAACTTAATATACTGATCTTTTGAATTTTTAGTTAAAAATGTTGTGTTTTCAATACTTTGCAGTGGAATTCGACCACCTTTTCCTTCATTGCTTTTTCTAAAACTGTAAGTAAACTTAATTAATAATAATCAACAAATTTTCACTTCGTTTATCAATGATAAAAAGTAGATAAAAACTTATAAATAAATAAATCATTTGTCATACATAACCTACAAATGTTTAGCTACAGCAGTCTCTTTATCACATTCAATTAATGTTTTTCTGATATCCTTCAAATCATTATCAGGAAGTTTAGGTAATCTGTCCTGATTTACGTGACAAAACATTTTTGTAGGTTGAGCTTCAAATTGCTCCAGCACTGGTTTTTTATGCTTTTTCCATAGACATTTTCTTTCTGTTGAAGAAATTTGTTCTAATTTTTGAATGTCTAACCTGTTAATGAGAGCATTTTTAATGATATTAAATTTAAACAAAATGAACTTTTTGACTGACAGTATACCATTACCTGCTACAAAATATTAACACTGCGACTATGTGTTTACATTTTTGACTCGCGCCAGCTTTACATGAGCAATGCATTTTCTCAATTGCAACCTTAATGTCACAATTTTCTGTTGTTACTAATAAAACACCTGTTATTTCATGAGGGTCACTTGTTAAAGCACTTGTTTGTAAGCACAAAGAGAATAATTCTATGCGATCCTTCTCAACTTTTGTAGTACCACACATTATAATCATACCCGAATTTAAACAAATTTGACCTTCCACGAGATTTCGAGAACAATTATTCGATTCTGTAAATCTATAAATACTATCTAGTGGCAGTGTCAACATTGTTTGCTTTTTTATTAAAAAACTAATTAATATTAAAGACTAGACGTCACTTCACAAGTAAACGTTGATTTAAATGTGTACACCCGTGTCGGCCATGTTTGTTTTTAAACGCTAGCGCCATTCTGCCCGCGGTGGTAATTTTCTTTCCCAATAACAATATATGTTTTGATTCTAAGATCTGTTTCTACAGAGAGCGTCACATGTATTCTGCCGTACGATGTAAAAACTTAGTTAAGTCATATTTTTGACAAAAATGAGTTTTTGGTATCAATGAATTCGTAAGAAAAAACTGCGTCTGATTACGTTATTAAAAATTTTTTATTTTAATTATTTATTGCAAAAAATAGTTATTAAAAATCTACAAAAACTCAGAAAATGAAAGAATACTTGATAGAAACTCAGTTAACTCGAGTTGAGTAGTCCAAAAATCGTAGGAAGCGTTGAGATCGAGCATAAGATACAAAATACAAACTTAGTTAACTCGACTTGAGTGTTTTCTATTTCGAAAAATGGCATGAGCCGGACAATGAATTTCGATGGGAGCAAGCGTAAGTGAACTTCGTTAAAGTTCGGATTTTCGTCGGGTGAATTCGGAATCCCATGCATTTAACTTGAGTTAACTAAGTTCTTACTTCTGAACGAAGGCTCGCGCTCGCCTACCTTTTCGAAAAGCACTACGTAACTCGAGTTAACCAAGTTTTGCTTTTAAAAAATAAAACGTAAGTCAATTATTTAATATAATTTGTTTAAATAATTAACTTTTGACTTCAGAATTAAAAAGAACTCTATCAAATTACCTAGAAAGTGAAGTTAGATTAAAGAATTATTTATATTACATTCAGTTTTTAAATATAAACAGTTTTTCGTCATTTTCTCCGTTCGAACAAAATATGACTTAACTAACTTTTTATTTCGCACGGCAGTATTGTTCTTTGAACTTAAAATGAAAAAAAATTATTTTATTTACAAAAACATTCTAGAGCAATACATTTTTTCTATAAGATACAGAACATTTTGTTTATTTGATGAAATACCTCAGAACCTGAATAAGCGAAAACTGAATAAACATACGGAGAAAACTGGAGTGTTAAATTTTTAATGTTAAAATAAATAAATTTGTGAAATAAAAATAAAATAATAAAATAAAAAAAAATTGAAATAAATAATTTGTTTTAACCACATTTAAAAATTTGTGCTTCTTATGGTTATTTGTTGTTAGCGAGTAAAAATTCTTAAAATTATTAACATTTAGTATAACACAACTCAAAATATTTTTAAATGTTTAAATTAATTTTTTTGCAATTAAATATTTTTTTTTAAATTGAATAAAACCGATAAAAGATTGTAATTTACCTTTGTGGAGTGTAAAACTACATATTTTAATTGCGACACTACGAAGATAATAATTTACAAACAATAGAGGGTTGTACTATAGTTAAAACTAGAATTTTGACAAGTATTACACTCCTCAGGGTAAGTTTAACTTTCCTTTTTTCTCCGTGCAAGAATAATAAATAAAATAAAGTATTTGTTAAAACAGTAAATGATAATATATAATATATAAAAATAAATAATAAATTACATAAATATGTCTAATACTACATTATATAATTAATAAATTTCTTTGATAGAGAAAAACAGCTTTTGGGTTCTCTTTTTTTTCATGGTACCGATTTTCCGAGGAAACTTTCAAGGTTGGCAGTGTAATTCCAAAGAAAGGGCTTCTTTTCATCACATCAAGAGTACCCATCATTTGTATGACCTAAGTTGAAAAGAATAATTTACTTTATTAGTAAAAATACACTTATCTTATTATATTGATTATTCTTATTTAATTAGTTAATTATATCTTATTAAAAACGAAAGAATAAATATATTAACTCCTTAAATTCGTAATTTATCTATGAATATCCATTGAAGTGCTCTTTTATGCTTCGATATTGGATTGAATTCAAAGTCTATCCAACTTTTTTTCAATTCTCTTCCTAATTGTTAAACTAGTAAATTTTTATTTATGCTAATCAATAATTGTCTATCCGCAGTTTTCAATGCGTAACAGGGGCTTAAAATTAATTGACATTAATTAAGTTAATCTTTTTGTGGATTAAAAATATAAATATTTTTATTTATCTAATTAAAATAACTTTCGTCTATTTATATTGGTATAGGTCCACAAAAATTGTGATTTGTTGATTTTAAACATCACGCCGAAATCTTTCTGTCGATTGTTGGTTCATCCATTTGCAATTTCGGACAAATGATTTTAAATTTTATGAATTTTCTACTCTTTGAGACAATTCAAGAATTAGGAATAGTTAAAATTTTGGAATCATTTCAAAAATTCGTTTCGTATTCACCATTTATACTTGCAATATTAATATGGCACGCTGTAAGGTGGCACTCGTGCCAGTAATATCGCAAGCACTTGACTATCACATATGCGATTGACACAAATGCGCTGAAATGCATGAAAAAAATTACGCATATGAGTGTCATACTGGACATGCAACTCATATGAGGAGGCATCCCGGTAAGAAGCGAGGAATAGAGAAAAATTGAAAGTTTGCAGACAAAGAGCAGAAGTTAAGAATTTTTAATTTTTCTGAATAGGCGATTTTACGTTTTTACCCAATTCCTCACTGAACATCAAAATATCAGAAAAATGAATTCTTCTCTATTCCCAGTAGAGGTAAGTCAATAGAAAAGAATTCAGACTTCTTATTTTTCTTAATGCGCGAAGTTTCTTATTTTCAAACTTTTGGAAGCGCATAGAGAAAAATTAAATGTTTGGAGAGTAAATTTTAAATATCTATTCCTTTCAATCGACAGTATCAAAATTTCTGAAGCGCATTGAAAGGAATAAGAAATTTGGAGAGTGAAGTGGATATGTCTATTCCTTTTAATTGACTGTGTCATGACATCAGGAGCGTATTTAGAGGAATAGAAAATTTGTAGATTAAATGAGGTATCTTTATGCCTTGCAATTGACTGCGTCAGGTTTTTAAGAGCATATTCAGAGGAATGGGAAATTTAGGGTATAAATTCAGTATTTCTATGCCTCGCAATCGCCTGAGTCAAGTTTTTAGGACCGTATTCAGAGGAATGGGAATTTTGTAATATGAACTAAATATTTTTATTTCTTGCAATCGACTACGTCAGATTTCTAAAAGTGTATTGAAAGGAATGAAAAAACTGGCGAGTATATTAATAATTCCTAATCATTTCAATTTTTTAAAAAATATTATAAGAAGCGAAAGAAAATGAATATAAATTTTAAGATTTTAAAAGAATATAAGTTAATATTTACTTATTGACTATGTTCAATTCTGAGTGAATTGAATATTGTGAAATTTGGTGTTGTGCGCGCTAACATGTCACGGCGTCGTCGTTCCGCGCATCTCTGTAAATTAGTAGTACTCACCAGATATCTCTAGAGGTTAGATCTCATCTATCTCAAGGCATTAATCTGTTCATTTTCTAAGTTAATAATCACTTAACTTTAGTTTATTTATCAAGCTCAATTTTATAACAAGGTATTTTATCACTCGGGTTGTCTCTCACACAATTATCGGTCGCGAAATCAAAGGTTAATCTCAAGTGCGTCGAACACGTGCTCAGACCGGCATTGCCGCCAGCTGAGAAACATAAGACAATTCTAGAAACTCTAAGGAAATTCTCACCTTCTTAAGTGTAAATCTTATGTGTTCGCTGATCAGCAATAAAGTGTTATTTTTTGTGTAAACTTTCCGAGATTTTATTTCGCTGTGAATTTTTGATAACAGACCTATTTCCTCACCAGTAAGGTTTTGCTCCCTCTCAAACATTTTTTGGTCCTTCGAGCCGGATGGCCTGTGAAAAAAGTGCACAGTGAAATTTCGAAGTGTTTGCCACAACGACATTTTCAAGGAAAGTGCTCAGTGAACAATCAACGAAGGAATCATTCTCGTGGCGTCTCAGCGTTGCACGCCTCAAGGATTCTCTCAGTTAACGCCATCTTTTCTACGGTTTCTTCCCCTCGCCTCATCGCAAGTGGAAACGAGCCCTCTCCCGTGTGCGCGCTCCCACTCTCACGGTTCCCCTCCTCTCGCAACGTCACAGTGCCGCGCTACAAGGATCCGCTCACCAATCTTCAGTGAGCGCCATATTGCTTCTCTCCCCTCTGCTCGGCGGCTACAGGTGACGACCGGTGCACGTTACCGCTGTGCTCACGCATCGAGGCTTCACGCACCCTTTCTCTCTCGCTCTCGTTGCGCGTCGCAATATTGCTTACACACCACTCAACTTCATTTGGTCTCGTTTTCCCTCGTTCTTTCAAATCTCTAAATCATGTCAAATAACGGGAAAAATTCAATTGAGGAATTCTATGATGGCATGGAAAACCCCGACAAGGATAATCTCACCAAGGACGAATCAAAAAAGGAAAAGTCACCTGAATCAATCTCCAAGGTGCATCTTGAACCTAAGATCCTTCTCAAGGTCCCTTCTGATCACGCGTCACGTGTCAGCTCAAAGGTAACAGATGACGACGATCAATCAAAAATCGATTCTGCTCGCAAATCATCATCCAAGGTAGAACTCAAGGTATCAACTCAGTTCACAAGGCTCAAAATCATGGAAAATACGTTCGCAGATTTACAACGAGGACTTTTTGTGGACAATGCGGATTTTTTGGAACTAAGGGTTCAGATTCTCGAGAAGAATTATGAGGATTTCAGCGAGATTCATGATGAACTCATCACCAGTAGTTCGGCCAAATTCCTTAAACACCCTTATGTTCAGGAGGATGTTTTCGGACAATTTGTTGAAGCTTACACCAAGGCAAGGGACGCGATGCTGTACCACGTGTGCAAGCTTCGAAAATTGGAACCTCCCGCTCTCACCCACTCACCCTCATCATCGGAAGTGCGATCTTCAGGGAAGCTCCCCAAAATTCCTCTTCCAACTTTTTCGGGCGATTACTCAGCTTGGAATAGCTACAAGGATCTCTTCTCTTCTTTGGTCATAAATGACCCAAAGATATCAACTGTGGAGAAGATGCAATACCTTAAGGTTAGTCTCACTGGTGAAGCGGCCAAACTCATCTCGAATCTCTCAGTTTCCAATGACAGTTTCGAATCTGCCTGGAACATTGTCGTTTCTCGGTACG